ACAGGGTGCTGGCCTTTTGTGGTTGTCTTTTGTAGTTGTTTCTGTTTCCCCTTGTTCCTGCCACTCCCCCCCTCATTGCTGACTGCTCTCCTCTTATTTTCTTTTGCCGCATTTTTGTGCGCTTTTAATGATAACGCAACAGCATTGTATATGTAGATGCCTCGACACCGTGTACCATCCTGCTGCTGTTGCTGCTGCTGCTATTGCTGCTCCTCTCTCTCATCATTCGCTCAACCACAGGAGAAAGAGGAGTAGCAGGAGCAGTAGCAGGAGCAGGAGGAGACCTGCTGCCACGCATGCCACAGTCAATGCATTAAATGCTAGTTGAGTGTAGAGTGTGCCACGCCGACTATACACGACGACCAAGTCTGGCCAAGTAAATTCAATTGAATTTTGCACTCGTTTTCTCTGTTTTCTGTTTTTCCGTTGTGTTTTTTTCCGCTTTGCCATTTTCCTTTCTGTTATTTTTTAAATGCCAGAGGCTCATGTTGCACTGGGGCTACGCCCTAATACGGCGGCGGCACCCCACGCACTCATCCTGCAACCTGCAACCAGCAACCAGCAAACAGCAACCAGCCCATCCCCACAGGCAGTGCAACAAAACGCATCCCATCCCCTTCTGCCCCTCATTTCTGATATTTCCTTATAGTTATTTGTGTTGTTGGTAGGCGAGTATTATCCTTCAGGCGGCGGGCGTGTGATTTGCTCGGTATCGACATTTTAATGATGTGCCTGGGGGCCCCGTGGGCCGCCGACGCTGCCGCCGCCGCATTGTTGAATCCTTGGATTCTTGGATGGTTGCAAGACGACGACCGACGCCTTGTACTTTTGGCATTTGCGCGAAATGTCGAGACATTCCAATAGAGAGACAGAGAAAGAGATGCGACGGTTGGTGGTGCTCCTGCTCCTGCTTCTGCTGCTGCTGGTGGACATATCCTAAGCTGTCAGCCAACCAGCAAGAGAGGCAGAGGCGCAGAGGCAGTCCGCATTCGGCAGACACCCCCGCGGCATATACTTAAGGATACATAACCAACTGTAAATGCCGTCCAGCATTTGTGTCCTGCAGCAGTCCTTCTACCCACCAAAACACAATGATATTTCCTTCATTCATTCTCAGCTACAGCTTCAGAGCTTCATCTCACTTCAGTGGCCGACCCTCCGTCCGTCCGTTCATCCGTCCTTCCTCCATTCTTCTGTTCCGGGTTCGCCGTTTCGTTTCTGGGGGACTTGGGGGGTCTCTTCTGTGTTCGATTTGAATAATGCCAATGATTTGCCTCCTGACTGTTGAAAATCAAATTTCAGATGGCTATTAGCATCCTCCCATTTGCACAAGAGTCAATTTGAGTCCTTTCTTATTTTTTTTTTTTTGGGTTTTTATTTTGGTTTTACCTCAAGCTAACATTAGTGGATGATATTTATTGGGTTTTTGGGTTTTTTGTGTATTGTGTTGCAGATTCTTCTAGCCATGTTTTGATTAAGGCAACTTGCTAATGCTCCCAACAGTGGAGCCAATACCAATGGTTCCAATGACAAATCCACCGAAAACACGACTGCCAACGAACGTAGCCCTTAGATGATTAGTTTAGACACATTCCCGCCACTTGCCGGACGCGGTGTCATCCGTATGGTGCATCGATGTGTGAGGATGCAAAAGAAAATAAACATTTGGATCTTTCCGAATTCCAACTGATGACATTGCCAGACGCTGTCTACCATTTGATGCGTAACACAGTGTTGCAGACTTGCAACCTGAGCGGCAATGATCTCAAGTCTATCACACGGAAGGAATAATATACAAACGATCAGCTTGGATCAGCGGAATATTAGTAAATACATAAATACTTACGTATTTAAATAAAAATTGAGTGCTGAGTATTTTGTTGACGATGTACTGCGAGCGACAGCGGTGTGGCTAGTGTATTTTCGAAATGGGTCTCGTTTGTTGTAATGACAAACACTTCCAGGCACATGAAATCACTCTTAGATATAGATTCTAGAAGGTTGTACATTGGTCTGCCAGCAAGACAGGATTAATGGCCAAGAATAGCCCCAGAGAAGAGCCAGCATTCGGGGTATTCGTTGTACAAATGTCCCAATGGACCCATTCGATACGAATGCGAATGGGAATGCTGTTAATGGAACTGTGGAACTCACAAAGATCCGAAGATAAATGATCTCCTTGACCATTACAGCGATTAAGTGCGGATCAAAAGCGTAACTATATCGAATAAATATTTTCTCTTAGATCTCTTCCTGCCATTGTACTCGACTTGAAGACCCAACACTGAACTCTAACCCAAAGTTCTGATTGAGTGCAGTCCTTGGAGGTCCAAACGGAGAAATACAATAAAAGAAAATGAAATATGAAACGATGTCATAGCAGGGGGTATTTTTGTGGGGGGGTCGTCGTCGTATGCAGAGCAGGACATGCAGGACACATGTCGCAGCACACATCCCACAGCGCATCGAAATGGCAAATAAAATGCTCAACATTTTTCTTATGACCGACAAATTTTCCGCTTTGCCACCAGATTTCCCCATTCCCCACAGGAAGACAGACACCATTATTTATAGGCATTTTAAACAGCGGGGAAAAGTCAATGAATGCAAAAAAAATATAAATAATACAGATATATATCTCTGTAGAGGGATGGAGGGAGGGATAGGGGGTAGATAGAGAGGGGAGAAGCGCATTAAGCTGTAGGGCAGTACAGGGCACGGCAGGGCAGGAAGTAGACGCATTTTAGACATTATAGAGTACCAGGACCATATAAATATGGATGGATGTAAACCCCCCATCCGCAGTCGCAACCCCACTCACCACTCCCCATTTTTCCCACCCTCAAGAGGATAGACGTCTGCTTACACGACGAAATTGACATTTTGCATTTAGTTATTCAGTTCCCTGTGTCTATTTTGATTTTTTGCATTTATTTTTTTTGCCTTGCCTTTGCTTCGCTTTGCTTTTTGCATTTTTTGTTGCCATCTGCCACACAATAAAATGAGTAGAAAAATTGCATAATAACCCCTTTGAAATCGTCGGATTATCCTTAAATATTTGTGTAAACATTGTAACAAATGCGCAGCGCCATTGTCATGGATGCAGGATGATGGGATGGCACAACAGTGCAAACCCAAGAGCACATACCCCATTCTGCCTTGGTGGTGGAATGGTGGAAGGTTCTTCTTCCATCGTCAAATGCCTGAATGATGAGCAATAGACGATGGGCTCGGCCCGGCCCAGGCATGTCACAGTCGACAATGAGGCAACTTTCAGCCCATCCGCTTTGACAGACAGGGAAGACTCGGAGACGAGACGACACGAAAGATGGTGGAAGGAGGCGGAAGGACGTGGCAAGGATACAAACGGAGAGACGCCGACGCATGCAACAATGGTTGGAAGTGCCCCAACCATCGGAAGTAGATGGAGCAGGCTGGGAGCATCCTGGGAGCCGTCTTAAAAAACCTGTCACACATATTGACAGTCGCTTTAGGATCGTTTAAATCTAGTCGAGGGTCGTTGGTGTTTGTTGGTTGCCGGGTAGGATGCGTGGGGTTAACATGTGGTGCGTTCATCGAGTCAAGTGTGGGGGGCATACATTTATTGTAATGATTACGGGCAAATGTACACATGTGTGCGCCGTGTCCCTCAGTTGAGGAGGCTTCACTGGAGGCGAAGGGCAACCACCGGATCTGACATAATTTTGATTTGAATTTATTTCCGACTGGAATATAATTAATTTGTTGAAGGATAAATACAAGATTTTGAGAGGCATGCCAATCACGAGAATAATACCACCAGTCATGGTTCCAAAAGATTTATACGGCTCAGACGAGTGCGTTCATATATTTACATTCCACATCCTAAAGTGTCAGTTCTCGTTCGAGCGTTTTTATACCGCCTGAAATTCTTCACTTTTCCGTCCGAAATGTAATTTTGTAAATCCAATACATCCCAATGTTCCAGTTGCAGTTCCCATTCTTTAAGTCTACAATCTTTTCCGTCCCTAAAGTCCCTAAATTCCAATTGGCTGCCATCAACAGTCAAGCATGGTTCAAGCAGGGTATCTCTGGGGAACGCTTTAATCTTCTTACATGTAATTCTGGACACAATGGGAAAAAATCACAGAAAAAGTACCGACACCGCAAAGCTCCTTATAAACATTGTTAAAAAAAAACCAATAGAACATACAATATTTCCAGAACGTTTTCAATTTGCATCATTCATTCGATTGGTTAAGCAGTGCAAGCATTGCTTGAAAGCAGTAGTATGCTTGCCCTGCTTCGTTCCCATTTCTGCTGTTTTTCTTCTGGCCTTTACACACTCTCACTCTCTCTCTCTCTATATTCGTGAGTGAGTGTATTAATCGAATCAGGGCTCATTTAAGTGAATTAAAAAACATATAAAGGCGCCGGAAATTAAATCACGCAACTATTTTGCGCAACAAAGAGTACAATTAAACGGCTGCTCCTGCCCTGCTATCGTCTGTGTGTTTGTGTGTACTCCAAGGACCAAGGACGAAGCAAAAGCGCTGCAGTAGAGTAGTCAGCGTCTGTCTGCTGTTGGAGGAACAAAACGCCACAAGTTTAATCGAATTTACCTACTCATAATGTGCAACAGACAACGACCACGACCCCCCTCCCCAGCGAATAGGCTGTATAAGCCAGGGAGAGAGAGAGGAGAGTGCACTCTCACAAGTCCTTCTTGTACGTACAAGTTGGGCACTAATCTTATTAGGATCATCCAGCAGGCAGGCAGGCACATACACACCACTAAAAGTCCCAATTGTATAGGTGAGATAAGCCCCAAAGCACAACACAGCACCAGTCCAGACCAGACCAAACCACAGCTGATACACAGTTACTCTCTCTGTCTCTGTCTCTATCTTTCTCTTTGGTTCGACTCCAATTCCGACTCCGAAGTCACGAATCGTACGTGAGCGTTTCAATTACCGCCCGTAAAGGAGGAGTGCGAATGGGTTTTATTATTATTTACATACCTGTTGCAGCAGGGGCATTGTTTTGAATAAAAATTCCAATTTCCACACTTGTGTTCGTGTCCTCCCTCGTTCGTGTTCGGGTGGGTTCGTCTACTCTGCTCGGCTTTTGGCTGCCGGATGGCACTGACAAAGCGGCAAAAACAGATGTCACCACTTCCGTGTCTGCTCTGTGCTGTCTCTCCTCCTTTTCCTGCTCCCCCACTCCTCCTTTTTGGGGTCCAACTCGAGTCCAGGCCGCAAGCAAGCCAGCCGACGGCGTTTCCTTTTATAGCTCCAACTATTTGTTCACACTCTCGCGCAATCCGCTCTCCCAATCACTGCCCAAATGCGCTCTCAATTGCTCAATTGTTGAAGCTGCGCAGGCAAAGCTTCGGTTGGATTCCGACTCTTTGGGGTTGGATTTGGTTGGGTTCGACCGCCTCAGGCAATGTAATGTTGGGCTCGACACTTGACTCTGCTGGGGCCAGACACTGAAGACGGAAGACACGCAGGACACACACAAGACAGTAGACAGCTGGCAGATGTGGCCGGTTTCAGCAGAAGCAGCAGCAGCCAACAGTCATCGATTCATTATGCCTTCTCGTCAATAGATGCCAAATTTCAAATTGCTGCCGAAGAGTAGTGCTGAAAGAGCGTACAAAGTATAGGAAAATGTATTTTACATAATCTGGAATAAGTAATGGGAGTTTAAGTCTTCCTCTTCCTCTATTGTTGCATGGTAAATGATATCACAGGGAGGGCGGGGAGGTACGTTCACCGTTCATTGATCATGGGCGTATGGGAGGGGATGCTTTCATCACTAAACTAATCCCTGACATTCCCCTTTGTAGTTACCGTTAACCCATCCATCGCTCATCGCTTATCTTAAAACGTTTTCTCTGATGCAAATCACTCGAGTAAAAAGCACACGCGGACGGACGCTCCCTGCCCCCCTCACTAAAATGGGGACCCACTGAGCGTTAAATGTCGTTAATCGATCAAGGCGTAACCCAATGCCCATGCCCATGGCCACAACATAACTGTAATTAACCAATTTAAAAGTGCTTTCAAGCGAGAGGAAGAGAGAGTACGGAGAGTGAGGCTTTAGCCCTTTCATAATTCTGTCCCTTCACTGTCATTATATTCCAATTCCTTTTTATAGCTCCAATAAGAACAACTATCAAGTGGCCGGAAAGGGCCTAAAAGGGAGCGACACGCCTACTGCGAGTGCGAACGAGTGTAAACCTTTTGGCTAGGAACCGGAAGCTGTGTGTTGAGCGAAGCTATTATTAGAGCCATAAATCAGCATGAAATGAGCAGAAAGCCGCACTGACTGCACGGGCACACAATGAGCGGCGAGCGCCATTCTTGGAGTTTGAGCCTAGCCTTGCCATGCCCTGCCCTCTCTCTATCTCGCTCTTACCCACTCTCTCACACTCCTCTCAGCCATGGACAGTGGGCAGAGGAGAGAGATGACGTGAGCCATGTAAGGCGTTTGATGGTCAAACGAAACAACAGTAAAAAAAAAACACGCACAATGAAAGAAGAGCACAAAACTAAAACGTAGAGCAAAAAGGGAGTTGGGAAACACAGTTTTTTTTCTTACAATCTTTCATACACACACACACGCACATACTTTTACTGTTCTTTTATGAAATTTACAAAAATTTGTTGTGCCGGCTTTCAATGCAATATATTGTACCTATGCACATGCTACATACCCAGCGTAGAGACTCCGTTTCCCGTCTATTTCCCAGTGTTGAGGCCGACACGCGCCGCGTGCATAAAATTTGGCAAATTTAATTTTAATTTTGCATTGAGTCGGCTGCTATTCTGTTGTCGTCGTCCTCCTCCGTGCGTGGTGCCAAGCACATTGCACACACACTCACACACACGCGCAACCGTTACTCTGCCACTACAACTACAACTTCTGATTTGCACGCCTTTTGCTACTACGCTACTTTTGGTGCGTTGTTGTTGTTGTTTGAAGAGTAGTTTTCGCCGTCCCGTCTTTTTACACACGCTTCAAAATACACACACCGAGTCCCCCATACACATTTCTCGCATTGAACAATTATTTTGATTATTAAATCTGCTGAGCTGACAATGGAAGAAGGGGAAGAAGTTTAGTAATCTGCCGCCGCCTTTGGCAAAAAGCTTCTTTTACTTTGTTTTCTTGTGCCTCTCTTCTTGTCGGCTGTTTTTGCTGTTCCGGGCCGAACTGCAGGGAACAGAACCTAACGGAGCAATGAGCAATGTGAAATGAAGTCCCCAAATGTGAAGCCCCAACAACGAAGGGCGCAAGGAGGACTTATATACGACGAGAAACAGAGAGCAGAAGAGTGCATACAACCGCGCGTTTGCTATCGATATCAGAACAGCCGCCATGATACAGAATAGTCGTTTACACTGCATGACGCAGGTTATTGCTGATATAACACCATTATGGAAAACGTTAAAATTTATTTACTATATATTTTAGCCACTTCTTTGCAGATTTTGTTGGAGTTCGTCCTCATACCATAAAAATATAATTGTTTTAGGATTATAAATGAAGGTATACCTTTTCCTTCACTATGCTTGCGTCTGCCAGTGTAAACAGCGTTGTGTGATGGGACGTTTTTCTTACTGTCTGGTGCGATGTGCAAACAGCTGTTTCGAACAGCGCTGCCAGATCAGTCCGTTTTGTGGCTGGCATTTTGCAAATTAAAACAATTTTATTTCGACAGAGAAAACTCCGCTTTTGATTAAACAAAATGCCTGGGGAGAATGAAACCAGCACCGCGGACACGACCAACGACCACATTGACCTGTCCATCTACCGCCGGCTGGTCAAGCAGTTCATAGAGATGGTAAATGCGCGCCGCACAGACGCCGGCAAAGAAATGTGTAAATTTATTCCAATTTTCCAATTTTCATTCTAGCGTCGCTATGGCACCGCCTTGTTTTGGGCCGAAAAGGTGGCCGTGCTGAGCGGCCAGGAGCCGCGCGATGTTTACTACCAGGCGCAGTGCATGTATCTGCTGGGAGAGTTCCACCGCGCGGCCCATACCATTCGCCACCACAAACTAGAGAAGAACTCTCTGCCGTGCTTCAACCTGCTGCTGGAGAGCCTGTACGCGGCCAAGGAGTACAACGAGGCGGATGCCATGATCCAGACAGTAGAGGTGGAGATGATGACCACCTCGGTGATCAACCAGCCCGTGGATCCCGGCAGCGGCTGCTACATCGAGAGCAACAGCGTCTTTGGGGGCGAGGAGAACAGCCGCAACGAGCTGTTGGCCTCCATTTTCCTGGTGAAGGGAAAGGTGTACGAGGCGCTGGACAACCGCGGCACAGCCATGGATTTCTATGTGCAGGCGCTGCACAAATCCATCTACTGCTTTGAGGCCCTGGAAGCCCTCGTGCAGCATGAAATGCTGATGGCTTGGGAGGGTGAGTAGTAGCAGATATCTCTCTGCACGCAGCACCTCTGTATTTGGTTCCATCTTCCGTCCAGAGTTCGAGCTAATGCATCACCTGCCGCTGGCCCAACAGTCCAGCGAAGCGGATGCCAAATTCATCTTGAAATTGTATGAATCGCGCCTGAAAAAGTACTACGAGTTGATTTCTGCACGAAATGGCGAGGAGATCTCGCCGATTGTCAATCCGGATGTGCTCAAGTTCATCAAGGAGTTCACGGCTCGCGTGCAGCAGACCTGCTCCTCAGAGTCGCAGATGCCGAGGGTTAGCGCCTTGAAGGTGCCCCTGACGCCGAGTCAATTCGTGTCGCCAGCACAAAAGTGAGTGCCAGGCCAATACCTCCGCTTTGGAGCATTCTGTAAAATTAGTTCTCGCCTTCTTAGAGTTTTGGAAGACCTGAAGGCTCCTTCGTTCTCCCTGCAGACGAGCCTGTCGCGTGCTTCTTCCCTCATTGATGCCACACATCGATCCATCTTCGATGCTTCCAGTCGCCGACGTTCGCGGGACCTCGAGGCAGACACTTTGGTGCCTCTGGGCGAATGCCTCACGCGCGTTCAGCGCAGTACTGACCTGATGGCCGCCGAGGCGGAAAAATGCTTCTACGACTGCGACTACAAGCAATGCGTGAAGATCCTAAATGAGTGAGTGCTGGAGATCATCCATTGACACACACATCTAAATCCACATATCTGTATCCCCGTAGCCTCCTGAAGATCGATCCCTTCCACAACATTGCTCTGACCATACAGATCGCCTGCCTGGTGGAGAATGGGGACTTTAATCGCCTGTTCTATGTGGCCCACAAGCTGGTGGATCGCTATCCGGACAAGGCTATCTCCTGGTATGCCGTGGGCTGCTATTACGATATGATAGGCAAGAGCGATCCAGCACGTCGCTATCTTTCGAAGGCCACCGCTCTGGATCGGCTGTACGGACCGGCGTGGCTGGCCTACGGCCACTCCTTTGCCAACGAGAACGAGCACGAGCAGGCGATGGCCGCCTACTTCAAGGCCACACAACTGATGCGCGGCTGCCACCTGCCGCTCCTCTACATCGGCGTGGAGTGTGGCCTCACCAAGAACCTTGAGCTGGCCGAAAAGTTCTTCATGCAGGCCATGAACATTGCCCCACTGGATGTGTATGTGCTGCACGAGCTGGGTCTGATCAAATACGAGTACGAGTACGGTGGGGCAGCCACCATCTTCCAGTGCACCGTGGACATTGTGAAGCAGCGGGCGAAGGCCAACAACGAGGAGATATCCGCCCGCTGGGAGCCGCTCTTCATCAATTTGGGCCACTCGTTGCGCAAAATTCACAAGTACGAGGATGCCCTCTACAATTTCCAATATGTAAGTGCTCCGAGAGGGATTTATTCTAGCTCTAATCTGTGGTCCCCTTCTAGGCTCTCCTGCTGAAGCCGCAGAGTGCCACCACGTACACTTCCATTGGCTTTATCCATGCCCTTTTGGGTGATCTGGACTCGGCCATTGAGTCCTTCCACAAGAGTCTGTCGCTCAATCGCGACTGCATTGTCACCTCCACCATTCTGAAGTCCTGCATCGAGGATCTGATGGACGATGCCACCACCATCGATGATATATGCAGCGCCGCCCTGCGCGATGTGGCCAAGAACATTACGGCCAACAGTCGGCGGGTCCTCAATTCGGATAAATTCAATGGCATGAAGTTGAAGTTCGACGAGGAGGAGGAGTTTGCCAACTCCAATTCCGACTCGAATATGGTGGTGGAAATGAGCTTCGATACCTAATTCCCCACCTCAATGGCAGCCCAGCCCATCCGTTGATAGATCGATAGTTGCTGCTGCCGCGCTTGTGCGTGTGTTCCATGCACTTGAACTTAATTTCTTGCCTACGGCACACACAGATGTTCGTTCTTCTACGATCTATTAATGAGGCAGAGGTAGTGGCAGTGGCAGTGGCAGACGCAGAGGCTTGGGATTTCTCCAGTCAGTGATGTTTTTCCCCCGCATTTCCATTTGAAGTCGCCGACACCGCCGTCATGCGTTGTGCCAACATTTGTGAATATCATTTAGTCGTTTAGTATTTAAGAGTGCGAATAAGTCTCATTTCAGAACATACTCGTATTAGTGCCCATTAAGGGCTGGTCTCCAAGCTCTACTTATTATTCTGTAATTATACATTATAATTGTAACTAAATTTTTTTAGAAAGAAAACTTTGCTATGTGTTAGAAGAATTTTTTTTTTAAGTTAAAAAGTGAAGAAATTATGGACAAATTTTTGTTACTTTCATCTTGCGTGTCCATCAATCGAATCAGAACTTAACAAAACATTCATCTTAGTGATTATCTAATCAGTTTTGGCACCAAAGAACTTTCAATTTGAGGTTTCTGTGACATTTTGAGTTCATTTTTCTATTTAAGAAGTAAAAGAACTCCGATATTAAATGTGTGTGAATCAAAAAATGATAAGCACTTTTATCTGAAGATATCCCTAAGGCTTCACCTATCGGCTTTTGGTTTCATTTTACCCAATCGTTTTGTCAATTCAAAAAGTTAAGAAGTGTGGGTTTCAAAAAATGAATTGAATTTCTATCTTTGAGGCTTTTTTAGTTGATCGAAACTAATTTTGTAAGCTTCCCTTTATAGATTTTCTATCCAGAATTAAACTTCTTTTAATTTTAAAACTTCTCCAATTGCTTTGTCATCATTTTGAAGGTTTTTTATTCAGTTTTTTTTAAGCTATTTTTGGATTGAAACATACTACCCCTCTAGTATTCTTGAGGCTGTACCAATCGGTTATTGGTTTTATTTTCTTAAAGTACTCCCATCATGGATCATTGGCAAGTCCCAGACCTAAACGTACTATAATCTTGTGTCTTCCCTAATCGTTCATAGACAGACCTCTCCCCCAATGCCATTCGTCTGGCAGTCGAGCGCGTGTTAGAACCTCCTTGAGAATGAATTATTTAAGAGTTCCCTATTATAATGTTCCACTCTAAATCACAGCCAAAATATTCCGGAACGGAATATCATCCATAAAGCTAAGAGGTCGCCGGTGCCGTGCCGTAAGATAATGCTCTTATCGGTTATCGTTTGGGGGCGGCACAAAATCACGAATTAAGTGTCATTAAACTTAACTTTTGGATATGCAAACAAACTACTGATACACTTTATGGCAATAGCTGGAGGAGAACAGAACTGAACGGAGGAGCGACACCACAACCCACAGCCAAATATTTGCAGAGCTATACAGCCATAAAGCGTGTGACAAAACCAGAGACGATGACGATTGCTACGACTGGGAGTACGAGAACGACGACTACGAGACCCGTGAAGGTCTATGGGGAAAACATGTTTATGCATATGAAAGTCGCCGGCCGCCGCGTCCGATAAAGAGTTGGGGGGGGGCCCCCGAGATTATGCTCTGGCCGTCGGGGGATATATAAGCCCGATCGCAGACAGAACTTAAACACAGTCCAACGACGCCTTCCAAGCAGCAAAAACACAAGCAACCAAAACCAAAACCCAATCCGAAACCATGAATAGAGTGATTCTACTGCTAGCTTTGGGTCTGGCCATCTGCCAGGCGGTGCCTCTGGCAGTGTCCTACGACGATGAGGATGACACGGAGGTGGTGGAGCTGCCGGGAAATGGAATTGAGGAGGAGGCACCACCCGTCCTGGGCAAGGACATCATCGATCTGACGCCCCTGGGCGCATCGCTGTACGGGAAACCAGACCAGGAGCTGACTGCTAAACTAGTGGGCAACTTCAGTGCGGAATCCGATCAGGTGAATCCCGAGGAGCTGGGCAGCTACCTGGAGGGCGACATGCTCGTGCCACAGACGGATCTGGATCTGATCATGAAGAACGGCCTGCCCACCCAGTCCTCACGCTGGCCCCGTGGCGTGGTGCCCTACGAGATCCGCGGCAACTTCAATGCCCGCGACAGGACCACCATCGAGAACGCCATTGCAGAGTACCACCGCCGCACCTGCATCCGCTTCGTGCAGCGCAGCTCCCAGCGCGACTACATCTCCATTGTGAGCGGCAGCTCCGGCTGCTGGTCGTCCGTGGGCCGCGTCGGCGGCAAGCAGGAGGTGAATCTCCAGAGTCCTGGATGCCTCAGCCGCCCCGGCACGGCCATGCACGAGCTGATGCACGCCTTGGGCTTCCTGCACGAACAGAACCGCATGGAACGCGATGGCTACGTGGCCATCCAGTACGGCAATGTGCAGTCGTCGGCGATGAACAACTTCGAGAAGGCCGCCCTCACCGAGGCTTTTGGCGTGCCCTACGACTATGGCAGTGTGATGCACTACTCGAAGAACGCCTTCTCCATCAATGGACAGCCCACCATTGTGCCGATGGTAAGTGCTGAGGGATGATACTGGTACCCTTCCCTCTCATGACTGACATCGCCCCATATCCTTCTATCCCACAGCAAGCCAAGGGTGCCGATCAAATGGGCCAGCGCAATGGCTTCTCCGACCTGGACATACAGAAGCTCAACCGCATGTACGATTGTGGATCGGTGGGTGCTGGTCCCTCCTTCCCAACCTCGAATATCCCTTCTACCGGTGCTGCGTCTGCACCTGCTCCCGCTGCTGGCAGCGGAAATCCAATTGTGGACAGCTTTCTTGGTGGCCTCATCAGCGGCTTGGGTCTCGGAGAGGAGGAGGAGGAGCAGAAGCAGGCATCCACCCAGAAGTAGGACAAATGATCCAAGAACCAATGAACCAAAAGAATCTACTAGCTCTAACGAATCATCAACGCTCGAAACTATTTAATACATCCCCCACATACCCCAAAAGCATCAATGAATCTATCTAGCTAATAGCTATACATTTTTAGCTGATATTTAGTCTTAAAATAATTTAATAAACTGTTAACAAGAATTGAAGAAACAATTGCAAGATTTAAGGGGCACTCTACATGATTTATCTGAAGAATCAATCGTGGAAACGATGGATCCTCACTCTAAATGATTTGTAGGTAAGCAGAGAATAGATTTACAGGCAGTCCCAGGAACAGGCATTCGATTCATCGTCCAAAGATTAAGTAGAATCAGTCTATAAAATTGTTGGTACAGGCAATAAACTCTCTCAATAAAGATACTTGCGTCTAATCATCTATCTAAATCTGGTGGTCGGCACGCACACACTCACTCGTTTTGCATTGGAATTTGCGGAAGATTGTATTGGTACGTGAGTGGCAGCGCAGCAGCAGCAGAATAGATAGGGCCGTGTCGAGCCCTGTAGATTCTACAATATTAAGAATATTAAGAATATCTTTCACGTCTAAATCCTGCCTGCCCCTTCGTTACAGGAAAGGCCGAGCAGTCCTCTTCGAGCGGATCCGATAGAGGACCCACCAATCAACCACCAATAAACTATAGTTAATAGCTATTAACCAAGCAATTTAGACCCCACAAATAATGTTACTCGTATTATAATGGAAACCAAACAGATGCAAAGAGGGAATAGGCAATCTACATATTCCTCTTGGCGGCCAGGAGGCGGGACCGTGGTAGACGGCACTGGCTGATGCTGTGCAGGCGGTACTGCATCTCCGGCTGGGTGACCTTCTCGTAGAGCTTCTTCTTGGCCTCGGTGACGGTGTGGATGAGGACGCCGTCGCCGCCGTCGTCCATGTTGAAGGCCTCGCCCTCAGCGCACTCCGGGCACTGCTGGGTGAGCACAATGTCGTTGAGATCGGTGGGCAGCTCGCAGATCTTCTCGATCTGCTTGACCACATAGTCGAAGCGGCCCTCGTCCTGGCGCTCCATCACATAGACGCTGGCGGTGAGCTCCTGGACACGCACCTCGAGCAGCTTGCAGAAGCGACTGAAGTTGACCAGATTGACGTGGGTGTGGTCGCCCAGGAGGAGGGACAGCGGTGTGGCATCGATGGCGCACATCTCGCAGACGGTCTCGAGGCCTTGCAGCAGATTCTCGAGGCGGGCGTCGTTGCTCTCGCGGGCCTTTTGCAGCTGCATGTTGGAGTTCTGCTTGCGGCCGACCTGCACCTCGAGGCTGCCGATCTGATCGAGCTGCTCCTGCAGGGTGTTGGAGTTGTCCCGCTTGAGGGCGATGATGTCCTCGAAGAGGCGGTTCACCGAGTTGTTCAGCAGCGTGATGTGGTAGGACATCTCGTTGGCGTAGTTGAAGAAGGAGTAGTAGAGGCTCTCCTGCTGCTGGAACTTCTCGATCACCTCCTCCACGTTGTTGGAGTCCGTATAGTCGAGGATCTTCTGCAGCACCGAATTGTACAGATTGATCTTCTTGTTGTGCAGCCGCCGGAACTCGTCCCGACGCCGGTACTCCTTCGGCTGCAGGTCCGCCAGCTCTCGGGGCTTGGCCTTGCACTCGAGAAAGGCGGTGTTGTCCCCATCGGCGGCCACCCGCCGCATGATGCCCTGCATCTCGACGCGTCGCACCTCCCGCTCCTTTGCCTCCCTCTTGGCGATGTTGTCGATCTTTTCGTACACATCGATGCACCCATCGAAGGTGTTCAGGGCGTACTCGATGAGATCTATCAGATACTTCTTGTCGCTGTTCAGTTTCTGCACCATCTTCGTGTACGAATCGTTGAAGAAGGTGCGGTGGTTGAGGATGCGGATGAGCTGCTCCCGCAGCTCCGCATTGGCCGCCGTGAAGCCGCACTCCTGGCGCACCCCCACCTCCAGGGAGTTCTCCAGAATGGTCATCTTCTTGCGCACACGCCCCACATGGGCCTGGTGCTGCTGGTCCGGTACAGTGAGGCGATTTAGGTTGTAGATCTGCTTATTCACGCGACTTATCTCGCGCTCCATGTTCGTAATGGAGGTCTTGAGGGTGCCCAGGTCCTGGGCGAGGTTCTCCTGGCATTCCACATGGCAGCGGATGAGCTCCAAGTACCGCTGATTGTTCTGCTGGTGCGTCGTCCCACTGGCCACCCAGATCTGGGCCCTAAGATCGTTCTTTTCGTCCTCCAGCTGGTCGATGGCATTCTCATAGCTCGCCTCGATGATCGTCTCCTTGCGCGACTTCAGCTTACCCGACAGGATCTTCTTGTACTCGCGCTGACGCTTCCCCAGCTCCTTGTGCTTCAGCAGATAGCCCTCAAGGAACTCCGTCTTGTTGAATGGCTGTATGTCGTCCATTCTGTGAATTTACTCAACTCAAAACCGAAAAATAAATAAAACAATCAAATAAATCTCTATCTATAGATCTGAAGTGTGAACACGAATAGAGTTTTTTTAGTTTTGTGGGTGGGTTCGGTGGCCCTTGTGAATGCTAGGAATTTCCGTATAGTTTTGATCAAAACCCAAAATGTCAACTGACTACGCAAGGGTGACCTTTAATGCTAGGAGTCCTGACTGTTGAAATGAAACACAAAGGCGGATACATTGATCAGTTTTGAATGGATTCTCTTGGATATGACTATAAATTCACGATTGAAATCAAAGCAATGTACAATGTATACTGCAATAGTTCTATGGCAAAAATAATCGGACTTAAATGGGTATCACGCAGGTTTTTCGAGTGGTGCTGTGATTGTGTATTAAAACTTATAATAGTACAAGTAATAATTTAACTTATAATTTATTGATTTCCTAAGTTTTAGGATACAATTTTAAGGCAGAAACTTCACAAAATCGAAACTCCTTAAGTCGTAGATCCAGAATAAAATAAAAATTTCTTTCTTGCTTATTTAACCAATTCATTATATATAAATATGTATATATTTAGTTAAAACGCCTCCGTTGGGCAGAAACATTTTGTGTAGGGAAAATTCAAAATTTTAGACAGCAATTACAATGCTATATTGAGGTTCAAATGGGGACTACTGTTGGGAAATGCCGGAGCTCTCGACGGCATTGAAGATCTTGAAGACGGCATAGATGTAGGCGGCCTTGCGTAGATCGTTGCAGGTCTCGAACTTATTGGCGGTGGCCTTGATGCCAGCGGCGGCCGACTCCATCACAGTCTGCAGAGCGGCATCCACGATCTCGGCCTCCTTGGTGCAGTCGCGTATGCGCATGAGGCGTTCGTTGGGCTCAATCTCGGGCTAAGGATTGGGGAAAGTAAAAGAATTTAATGAGAACGAGCCTATGCTGCGGATTCACTTACAAATTCACTATCGGGACAGCGATTGAGGGACTCATTGATGGAGTTGATCACCTCGTGGATCAACTGGGATGTGGTCTTGGAGTTCATCTTGCCGTAGGAGACGTGATTGATGTTCTTGAGATACTCAAAGTATGAGACAGTAACGCCGCCAGCATTGCAGTACAGATCGGGCACCAGGAGGACGCCCTTGTCGATGAGGATCTTCTCGCCGGCGGGAGTGGTGGGTCCATTGGCGCCCTCAAGTATCAGTTTGGCCTTAATCTTGCTGGCATTCTCGCTGGTGATGACCTTCTGGGTGGCGCACGGCATCAGAATATCGCATTCGCCCTCCAAGAGGTCTTCCTTGGACTCTTGGGCCTTGGAGTAGCCTTTGACGGTCTTCTTTTCATCTTTGTAGGCTATTAAATCCTGCCGAAAAAGACCCATGAGAACCATCATAAGAACCTGCCCAGCTGTGGACTTACATTAATGTCGATGCCATCTTTGTTGAACAGCTGGGAATCCATTTCCTTCACCCCAATAACCTTCGCCCCCGCCTCGTGCACAAACTTGGCCGCAAAGGAGCCCACATTGCCGAATCCCTGGACAATGACCTTCTTGTCTTTCCAGCCCGTCTTCCACTTGAGCATGTCCATCCATTCCTTGTCCTGCAGGAACAGATCTCCGGCCTTCCACACGCCACGTCCCGTGGCGGAGTTGCGTCCGTTGATGCCGCCAATGTGCACCGGTTTGCCCGTACAAATGGCCGCTGCATTTATGTCCTTGTAGCCGAAGGTCTTCGAGTACTGATCGACCATCCAGCTCATCTCCCGTCCACTGGTGTTCACATCCGGGGCGGGCACATCGATGCCCGGTCCGATCATGTTCCGCTTGAGCAGCTCCATCGTGTAGCGACGCGTAATGGTCTGCAGCTCCCCCACGGTGTACTTCTTGGGATCGATGCGAACGCCGCCCTTGGAGCCGCCATACGGCAGGCTGACGCAGGCGCACTTGAAGGTCATGATGGCAGCCAATGCCTTGACCTCATTCTCGTCCACATCCATGGCAAATCGAATGCCTAGGGACAGGACAGCAAATAAGATACAGTATCCCTTGTGATATACACATCTCCGGAACTTACCTCCTTTGAGCGGCAAACGATTGCGTATGTGATGGGCCCGATAGCCGGTGATTATCTCGTAGGAGCCATTGCTCTTGATGATGGGAAAGCTCACCTCCACGGAGGTGGTGACACTGCCAATCAGATTGAGGATCGCTGAGACGCGAGCCTGTCGCGCCTCGGGCTTCATGTGCGAGTACTTGCCCATTTCCTTCACCAGCTGCGACTCCATGGCCTGGGCCGCCTGATGGTAGTAGTAGAGGACCATGGCCGAGAATTCGGGATCCTTGTCGCTGGCCACCTTCTTCAGATGCTCGGGCATCTTGTGCTCGTATCTGCGGCTCTGTATCTGGACCGGCGACGGCGACTGGACCTGCGATCGCTGCTTGAACAGCGTCATTGTTAGATTGCGTAGCATTTTGGGCTGATTTTTTATTAAAAATAGTTTTTTTGCTTTAATTATGAACTTTTACGAAACTTCAAGGGAATGTGAAAATTTTGGAATAGGAACTCTGTACTGTGGAAACGAAATAACTATGCCAGAGATATTTGGCAATTTGTTGGCATGGATAACTACGTTTAAATGATTTTTATGATTTTTCATTTGCTTTTATTTAATGTGTGTGTTTATCGTATTTTAGTTCTTTAATAATATTACAATGTATATAAATACAATATTTTAGAATTGCTCTACATATACATATATGCGCTATATATATGCTATATATCTGTATTATATATAGTATATGTGTGTTTTACGTTTAATACGTGGCTAAGCATCTAAGAGCTAAGACTTAAGTAGGGCCTAGCCTAGGGGATACTACGATATCCTATATATATGTATGCTATATGCTATATAGAAGAGTTCTTTAGATAAAATGGATCAACTGCTTTTGTTTAAAACTTTTGGGATCGCACGGAAGCACGCACAAGATACAGGGACACACAGGAGAACTTATGTAGTTATCATATAAATACTAGGGGGGACTCATCGGGGGCTCCTACTTATTACATCATCTTCCTTCTTTCTTCTTACAATATTTACAACTTGAAGCTTGAATGATTCTATTCTGAAATGTTATGTTGCCTTGTGGGTTAAGAAAATGATTATTTAAACAGAGAATATGTTGCGCTCTAATATCACTTTTTGGGGGACACATTGCTTTCTTTCTTTTTTTATATATTGTTTATGGCCTCTAAATCAATCGTCGCATTCGCATTGCACACGCATACAGACACACCCAGACACACACACACACACACAGAATTTACCTCAAATTTTAACTGGTTTTTCTTTTATTTTCTTGATGCTACGAGAAGGGACTACGAAATTCCTTAAATCTTAACCTTATGAAAATACAAATATTTTAAATTAATTTCAAATTAATTCAAAAGTCTAATTTTTACACAATAATTACAATTAACATATTGATGGATTGATTGGGTTCTGTTTTCGTGGGCAGGGGGCAGGGACACTTTAATCTCGTTGCAAGATCGCAGTTCTTGGGGGCAGGGGGGCTGGTGGGTGGCTTTGTGTGGGTGGTACTGCTGCTTAAAAGCTAACATCACGCTGATTAAAACAATATATTTCTCTGTTTTTTGTTGAGTACAATCCGTGGCTGCTGCTGCTGCTGCTGTTGTGGGGAGCAGCCTCTGACTCTCAATTCTCTTCGACGGCTGCTCCAACTGCTGCTGCGCTGCTGCTGCTGCTGCCTGCAATTCTTCTTTTTAGGCAGCTTCCGTGCTGCTCTCCTGCTAGTCCACATCCTTCTTCTCAATCTTCAGATCGTACTTGGCCACCAGCTCCTCAGGGGTGTGGCTGTAAATCAAACCAGAAAAATACATTCATTAGCTACTTAAGTGGATTTCCCTCAAAGAGTATGGACACCTACCCAACTAGATTCTGGAGATCACAGACAAAGCGGTAGACATAGCGCTTGCCCGCCGTCTTGTGGATGATGTTCTTATCGTAGTAGTACCTCAGGCCGCGACTCAGCTTCTCGTAGTTCATCTTGGGCTTGTTCTTGCGTATGCCCCAGCGACGTGCCACCTAAAGACAGAGAGAGAGAGAGAGATAATGGGGATTAGTGACTGTCATGCATCTAAGGATATCCTTCTAACGACTTACCTCATCTGGATCTGTTAGCTTAAACTCCCAGCCATCGCCTGTCCACGAGATGAAGCTCTGGCACGTCTTGTCCAGCAGCAGCTCGAGCAGAAACTGCCACAGCTGGATGGGCCCCGAGCCCGTGAAGCACGGCACTCCGCCCTGCGTCGTGTAGCCACCGAGCAGTGACTTGTCCAGCCCCAGGGTGCTCATGTACGCCGCCGGATGGGGATGCGTGTGTGCCCCCCACTGATCCATGGCCGTCTGTTGCGCGCCCATCGACTGGAAGGGCTGGGCATCGTATGGCGTAAACTCTGGCGGATAGTCGTGGAATCGTCCCCGTCCGTACGAGTTGTAAAAATCCGGACTGCCATCCATGCCGTAGCCATTGCTGTTGCCGGTGCTGTTGTTGCCACTGCCGTTGCCTCCGCTCGAGGCCTGGCTCTGGTGCTCCTGCGCCGAGATGGTGCTATGGTAATCGCTGTCATCCCCAGCCGCCCCAGTGGAGGCGGTGCCTCCTCCTCCCCCGCTGCTGCTGCCACTGCCACCTGCGCTATAGGCGGCGGCCAGATGCGGTGGCAGGCCATAGCTACTGAGATCGGTGGGATCGTTCTGGCTGCCATTGGGCCCTCCTGCCGCATAGGATCCACCGCTGCCGCCGCTTCCGTTTTGCGTTCCCGGTTCCTCTTTCATATGATGCTGATGCTGGTAGATGGCGGCCATGGCGGCCAATTGGTAATTAATGTTATTGTTGTTATTGTTATTATTATTGTTGTTTGGATTCGTATTGTTGTTGTTGTTATTGTTATTGTTGTTGTTGCTGGTATTGTTGCTGTCGCTGGAGCTTTGTTGCTGCACAGCCGGTGGCAGCATCGAATTGTTGCTGCTGTTGCCACTGCTGTTGTTCGTGTTGCCATTCTGCTGCTGCTGCTGCTGTTGTTGTTGTTGCGGGGGCGGGCTGTTGTTGGGGCGTTCATGTGCGTTGCTGCTGTAGCCTGGAGAGCCAACATGTAAAGAAACAAGATACAAATGGATTAGTTAGAGATTTATATGGAAATATAGAATGTGTGGAGTGCGAAAAAGGATAGTTTGAGATATATAATTACTAATGAAAGGACTTCGAACCTTTCATTGCTTTACTCATTAGCAAAACCAACCTAAGAATGAATTTCAATCCAAAGATACATTTATTCAGATATTCTTGACACATAGAAAGTGCAAATTAGAGGAGAATCGTTCGAGGAAAGCATTTAAGAATTTCTCATACTTGAAAAAGTGTCCCAATTCCATCAGAAAATTTCCTTTCGTTGTTAAATTGATAAGAAATTTCATCTAAATCAGCTTGAAGAACATTTCTATACTCGACACTCTCCTAAATGGGGCGTCTTTTCCCATTTCGTGTGCGTGTATGTGTTGGGAAGGGGAAGCGTGTGAAAGAGTTCGAAAACCAATCAAAAATCACAGCGCACACTCATACCAATTGTGAACTTACAGATACACATCTCATAGATACACATAGATACACATGGTAGGGGGGCACCATCACCACCATCCCCCTCGATCTAATGGTCTGTAAGAGTGTTTGTTTGTGTGTGTGTGTTTGTGTGCAACGCCACATTAATTGCAAATACAACGGAAATTTCACACATTTCGAGACCGAGACGAGAGCACGCTGCTCGCAAGTATCTTTGAAATACGAAAACCTGTTGGCATACCCAACACACAGATACAAATACATACATGCATGCGCAGCTGTACGCTCACTCGACTACTACCTCTCTCCCTCTCTCACACTCTCTGTCTGTCGTTCCGAAGAAGCAATGAAAAAGCTTTCAAAGCGCTGTTTCCCATTCGCTCGGCGACGCTACTGCGCAGATACAAAGATACACGAGGCAGCCAGCCCCACTGGTTGGCTGGTGGTCAAAGAGTTGTGTGGCAGCAGCAGCAGCGCAGCGCCTTTTTAGGTGCCGCCTCTTCTCGCACACGCTGGCAATAGAGGAGAGAGAGGAGGCATCACATCATCAGAGCATCATCAGAGATGCAGAGATACTCTACTCGTACAATTTGTATCTGTATCTCTGTGTGGGCATCTAATGAATCTTCTAATTATGCCTCTGTATTCGCATCTATCTAGGTTGTATTTCTGCTGCATCTTTAATATATCTTTGTTGTTGATTTTACTTGTATCTGTCTTCCATTTTAGTTGCATCTTCTGTAGCTGTATCTTTTTTTTTTATTATAACTGTTTTTTTTTCAACATTTTTTTTTAATTTTTGTGTCTTTGCTGAATCTACTGAATTGTATCTGTATGGTTTATATCTGTATATACTTTGTATTTTTGATATCCTTTTTATTGTGCTTCTACTGTAACACTGTTTATCTGCTGTAATTTTGTCGTGTCTATCTTGTATCTTGTATATCTTTGCAGTATCTTTTATAAATTTGATGCATTTTTTATGTATTTTTTGCTGTATCTTTTGTGAAATTTCGTTGTTGTCTTTATTGTTTTATATTTTGCGAGTACTTTGTTGAGTCTTCAGAATATTTCAAATATTTTCTGTATCTTTGTATAATAATTTGCTCGTATTAGGTCCAATAATTTTTGAGAGCATTTTGTTGTATTTTCTGTATCTTTGTATTTTCTGTCTTATATTTTCATAATTTATGTTGTATCTTCTTAATCTCTGTTGTATCTATAATATCTGTCAAGTATTTTGGTACTATCAGTTGAAACTTTTCGGTATATTTGGCACTGTATCTAAAGCATATTTTAACTATGCTTTAAATGCATCTTTGTTGTATTTTTGAAGCTAAATCTTTACTGTGTTCTCTTTAATCTATCTTGTAACTTTTGATTTGTATATTTTATAACAATGTTGTACCTCTAATGAATCTTGTTATCCCACCCACGACCAGCAAACAAGCCATCTAATTGCCACAAGAAGTGCGTCCCCACAAGAAGTGTTGGCCACTTATCACCAGGTCAATCTGTTCAGTGCTCTGTTCTGTTCTGTTCCCCCCAACAAACAACAGAGTCTTCCCATCCAGCCATCCATCTACTTATTGCCACCCCTTGTGGCATGGCTCGAGAGAGAGAGTGGGAGAGTCAACTTGTTGCGTGTCAAACACTTAAAAACGAATTACAAACGAATTTAATTATGCCACACCGCATCGCATCGCCACGTATCTTTCAGATGATTTTCACACTCCAACAAATTGTAATTAAAAAGTTTTCGAGGATTGTTCCGTTTTTGATGTTGGTAAATATTTGCTGACCTGTGCTGAAGAAGTTGACATCCGAATCCGTGTAATAGGCATTGCCTCCAACCCCCACACCGACTCCCACGCCTCCAGAGTCGCTACCAAAGGGCGCCATATCGTTAAAGTATCCCAGACCCAAGGAGGCGGCCGTCGAGCTGCTCAGAGCTCCCACCAGATTGCTGGCGCTGGTGGTGCTGCTGCCGCTGCCACTGCTATTGGGCACAAATCCTTGCGATGAGGTGTTGCTGGAGGAGGAAGCACTCGAACTTGAGCCGGAGGAGGTGGTCGTCGTGCTGCCCGTACTCCCGCCGGATAGACGATGGTGCGGATGCTGTTGTGGCTGTTGCTGTTGCTGCTGGGTGGGTGATCCATAGTGCGGTGGCTGCTGCTGCTGCTGTGGCAGGTGCGACTGCTGCTGCTGTGGTAAGTGTTGTTGCTGCTGTTGCAGGCTCTGATGATGTTGCAGATGCATCGATTGCTGGGTATGATGGTGCGTATGATGATGATGATGATGCTGTCCCAAATGATAGCTGGGATAATTCTCATAGCTCTGCAGGACCATGTTGTTGTAATTGTTGTAGTGTTGTTGATGTTGTTGTTGCTGTTGCTGGAGGATATGATGGCTGTGCTGCTGATGCTGATGCTGCTGTTGCTGGTGAAGGAGATCCGACTCCTTGTCACTGTCCAAGGCGTTGGCGGCACTGCTGATTATGGTGGCATTCACTAAAAACGCAGAGGGCGGCATCTCTTTGCTGCTTCGTTCACAAATTGATCGGTTCTCGAAAACGGAAACTCCTCCTCGCTAATCAGAAAGCGAGGCGTCATTGACGATGGTCCAGATGAATTAACCAGAATGAATACCAGAGTTTCTGTGTGTGTGGAATCTGCGGGATCTGTTTCGGTTTGTTCTGTCAATCTCTTAAATGCTGCTGGTGGTACTTGCACTCGTATTAAAATTGATTTCTTCTTTCTTTCTATTTTGGAATATTTTAATTTTTGCACTGTCACACATACAATTTTCGTTGGTTTTTGTGTGTGGTTTATGATTCTGTTTTTATGCGGGCTCTAATCAATTGGAGTGCCTGGGGCCCCTCTGCTCTTGTGGCATTGATAAGTATTAACTATGCCGTAGGGGGATTTTAACAAGGGACTTTAGTTGTGACTTATGTGGGCGTGACACTTGAAGAGATTTTAATCACAATGATTGAGGATCGATTCTCAGCGCCTCATTTCCTGTTTCACACTTGTGTTCTGAAATGCCATGGGAAATCTCTCTCTCTCTCCCCCCTCTCTATATATGTTTCGCACTCTCCACTATTTCACCGTCGGCGGCTTTATCGTATATGTAATTCCAATTGTGGTTTATTTTTTGCAATTTAATGGCAATTAATTGTAGGGTTCTTCTACTGCCCCCTGCACTCGTTCCGTTTCACTCTGCCACTGGCACTGGCACTGGCAACTGGCACCGTTGATAATTTAATGCGCATATCACACTTTACTCTTTCTCTCACTCACAGGCACAAGTTATATATTATGTACAATATTATATTGTTTTCATTCCAGTTTGGGTGTGGGTTTTATCTTCAATTTTAATTCTCAAGTTTTCTTAAAAACACTTATCGCGCGCGGAGCGTATGAGCAATCCAGCACTAAACGGATCTCAAAAGAATTGTGCTAGCGAGCCGAGATACATTCCGTCGTCGACGGCGAACGGGAAAGAAGTGAAGTTGCTCCGAAGTTGCTGCCTTGTTTCGTTCGTGCATTCGATTGCTGTTCGCTCGGGTTGGTTCGTTTCGTTCGCTGGCTTGTGTGTGTGTTCGTGTGCGTGTTCGTGTGCGTGCGCGTGTGTGTGGGAGAGAGCAGAGCGCGTACAACATTGCGAGAGAGAAGAAATGAATGTGTGTGCCAATGGCAAATAATAATCATCATCGGCGGCGGGGAGGGGGAGCATACTTTCACAGGGTGTTTCTCACACTCTCTCATTGCCCCCCGCTCTCCCTTCGTCATAATCAGTGTGTGGTGTTTAGTGTGTGTGCTCTTTAGTGAGTGACTACTGCTGCGCATTTTAAATGATATTTTTTGGTTCGAGCAAGATTCAACTTGTTGATTTCTCCCACTCTCCCACTCCCCTCTTTGCTCTCTGGGGAGCGAACTGTAGTACAGTTTTCTCGAAATTAGCTTTTTTCGATCATTAACAAACGCCAACACAGCGCCCAGCAACACACAAAATGGCCATCAAAGACTGTTTCTTCAGCCCACTGGTCCGCCTCTGAGATATCCAATGATGATGATCGAGTGGGCAGCTCCGCTGATGGCCAACAGAAAAAGTATCTCAGCGCTACAGAGAGTCCCAGAGCCCGAGTGGGATTGGCTACTGCCCCTCCTCTCTCCCAGCGATGATATCATGCCAAAAAAAAAAAAAAACCATACCCGTACAAAGTAAAAAACGCAACAAAAATTAAAAATTAGTTAACTATTTCAAACCCCCAAGCCGTACGTGTCTTCAGGTCTTGAGATACATATGTTTGTATGAGCGTGTATGGGTTTATATAATATTTCTAACCAAAAATAAAATTAAAAAATGGTGGCCCGCTCTGAAAACGTGTTTTGGGGCATTTTTTCGACATTGGAGCTGCTGCCAACCAATGACAATTTCGATTCGGTCGAAACGAGTGCGAAACGTGGAGTCCGAAATGGCACGTTCCCCAACCAGGCCCCAGAGCAAAGCTTAGCC